AAAAGAAAGGGAAAAAAATTAAAAAGGAGAGGGAAAAAGAGTGGGGGGAAAAGTTTTAAAAAAATAACCCTGAAGTGGCATTTGTTTCAGCCAAGTTTAGTGCCCCCTGGGAGCTTGCTTTGGATCCCACTCTTCTCTTCTATCTGCCAATTCTGGGCTTCTTGTTAGGTACTTAGGTGGTAACCACAGTCAGGTACTATCTTTTGGCTTTCAGCAACCTGCTTGATGTTCCTAGCCATCCACCAATCCACCACTTGTGTCTGTCTCCACAGGCCTTGGCTGCAAGCATGAGGGGCTAATTTGCCCTCTAAAGTAGGTTTGTTAGCAGCATGGGGCCCAGGGCTGGATCAGCGCACTTCCCCTGGTTCCTCAGGCTCCACCTCTGCCTGCCTTTGTCTGTTAGCCAGCTGTCAGTCTTAATAACTCAAAGGTCTGTTTCTGTAAGAGCTTTATGTGGGGGAGGTGCTGTTTAGCTTTCAGAGAATATGGTGGGTGTGTTTCCCTGTCCCTGAGCTAGTCCTCAGCCAGTGGCCCAAAATATTACTCTGCCTTGTCTGAACATAGGTCCTTGTATGGAGACCAACGGGGTTGGCTGGAAACCTAGAGTTTTTATCAGTTCTCCTGTGAGGGGAAAGTATTGCTCTGGCTCCTAGGATACTGGAGGATAGCCTCTCCCCTGATCCAGTCACTGAGGGCTGCTTGAGACTGCTCTGTAGTAGGCAGGCCCCCTCCCTCTTTGTTCCCCTTTGGAATGAAATGTCTGCGGAGTCTCCTACATTCTATATGCTGTTGGTCATATCCTCATAGTACTTTTGAGTGTGTTCTCCATACCTATATTAACAGTAAATAGGCTAAATCAGATTCCAGTTGGACCAGCCTCTTCTCAAGCCTCTGCCCATCTTGGCTCCAGGGAGGCCACTGCTGTCTTTATCAGTTTCCACAATTAGACTTGTTGTCCCTTAGAAGTTGATTTTCCTGCCTTTTACTTGATATGTCTTCACATAACGCCCTGAACAATTTCATTGAACCACCTTCTATATCAGGGGTGGGGAACCTTCTTTCTGCCAAGGGCCATTTGGACATTTATGATATCATTTGCAGTCCATACAAAATTATCAACTTAAAAATTACCAATATTAATAAAAGCTTAGGTGGCCCTTGCAGCCTTGCACAATGCCCTCACGTCGTCACAAGATGGCTGCCACAAGGTGGCCGGCAGAGGAGGGCAGTTGTGGGTGATTAGGCTAGCAGGGAAGGGCAGTTGGGGGTGAACAGGCCTGCAGGGGAGGGCAGTTGGGGACGATCAGGCTGGCAAGCAGAAGCAGTGAGGGGTGATCAGGCAGGTAGGCAGGTGAGTGGTTAGGAGCCAGTAGTCCCGGATTGTGAGAGGGATGTCCCAGATTGGAGAGGTGTAGGCTGGGCTGAGGGACACTCCCCAGTGCACGAATTTCATGCACTGGGCCTCTAGTCCTACTATTTGGTCAAACATTTCATTAATTCATCCCTAATGCCTTGGCAGGGCCAGACCAAATGATTTCACGGGCTGTATGTTCCCCACCCTGCTCTATATGCTAATAATTTGAAAATCTCTACCTTCCCACCAGTACCTCTCTCAGCTCTAGATCATCTTCCATCCCATTGTCTGAGGGATCCACTAATATACTCTGATAAGGACACTTCCCTCTCTAACACTCTTCTCATCACCTTCAGAGTTAAATCCCAAGTTCCCTGCTATGAATCAAGACTCTTACTGGTCTAGTCTCCACAGTCACCCCAGCCCTATCTTGCCTTCCTTCCTTGCAGTTCTAACTGTAACTTGGGCCCTCAACTCTCAGCTTTGGCCTCTGCCCTAACAGCCCTTTTTCCTTTCTTCCTCTGAACAGATGCACCCGAGAACCACATTTGCCAGGAAGCTTCCCCGGGCTGCCATGCAGGGTCAGCTGTCTAGGTGTTTCTTTGCAAATTTATCCCCCAAATGAGTCCTTGGAGAGATGATTCATTGACACCCCACTGCCCCAAACGTTATCGGCATGCAGATGCTTGTAGAATAAATGTTGAGAATGATTGGAGATTTTAGAAATTCCCTTTCATTCAAATGTTCAATTAGGGTCTTATATTAACCTCCAGGTATGAAGGATGGGAAACCATCATCAGCTCACCATCTCTTTCTCTGAGAGGTCCAAGGTGTTATGAGAATATGGGGAAAGAGCAGATTAAATTCAACTAAGGAAATTGGAAAACAAGATATTGGCTTGAATTGGACCTTAATTATAGTGGGTCTTCACTGAGTTGATATTGGTTTTGGGAAAGAGCACCCTGAGCGGAGCTGAGCTGCAGCCCATGCAGGGCACATCCCACTGTGGGTGCCTGGGGGTGCGCTGCACGGAAGGGAAGATGGTGAAGAGGTGTGGGGAAGGTACCAGGAAGGACCACGTCATGCAGGCCTCTGAAAGCAAAGCAGAAGACTTTGGATTCTTCCTGATGTGAACCCCCAGCATGAGGGAGTCCGAGGAAGCCTGTGCCTCAGAACCCCAGTTGGTAGGAATGAGGCATTGCAGAGGAGGTGGGAAGGTGGGAAAGGTAGGGATGGACAGCTTTGTCAGTCCTCATAAGGATAGAGTTCACTGTACTACAAAAGCCTGGACAGCAGTACCGAGGGAACAGCAATGATAAGCTTGAAGTCTAATTTGAGTGTGAGTCAGAATGTGAGGAGTGGAATTTGTAAATGTAAGGGTCTTGGTGGCAGAGACACTTGCATTTTGTAGGCAGCCCCCGCTGCACTCATGTTTGCACATAACACAAGTATTAGTATTCATGGTTGAGTCTGCCTCTCTCCCCATAGTGCAGCAATGAGAAGGAAATAAGTAGACCTCGCCTGTGCGCACCCCACCAGCAGGGTTGCCTGTGCCTGAGGCCTCCTTGCTCCCCCATTACTACCTTCATCCTTCTGGTCACCCCAGTGGGAGTCTTGGAATCCCTGATGACTCAAACAGGAAATGTGCCTCTCAGCTTTAGAATATTCTAGTGGCAGGTCCTCCAGTTGAACCATGACCCACCCTCTCTTCAGGGCAACCTGCCCTCCCTCAAGTCCTCTCCTTCCACAAATGTTACCCCCCCCCCACCAGGTGTTAACCACCTCTGAGACATGGACACCCACACAGCACCTCCCTTTAGGCAAAACTATCTTAGCTCTCTCCCATTCTGTAAATGGCACATAGTTGACATCGTGTAAACTTGTCATTGCATGAAGATGCCATTTCTAGACTCTTCTCTGCCCAGCCATCCTAGTCATCAGTGTCTGAAGATGTTTGATCCAAGCAGAAGGACTCATGTACCCTCTTTACCCGTCCAGGGCCATCCATCCTCTTTGGGCCTCAGTGGCATGGTCTCTAGTCCTGTTCTTTAATCCTGTCACGCCCTCCCTGGCCCCAACACCGGCCCAGCAGCATCATCCACTTTGCTCCTCCTGCAACAGCCTCAGCTGTCCCTCACCCACTCCACCCCTCCCACTCCCTGCTGCTCCTGCCCCCTTGCCTCCTTTTACTAGACAGTCCCAACATCTTAACTGGAAACCTCTCAACCTGGTTGATGCATTTAGTCATTAACAGTGAGGACTAGTCCACAGAACCAGTCACTTGAAGGTCCTATGCAAGGCGCAAGGGTCAGAGGAGCCCTGGCCAGGCCATTCCTGGGACGCCTAAGGTACTGCAGCCTCACTGCTGCCAGGAGCACGCAGTAAAAGAAATGGAGGAGAAACCATGCACACCTCAAGTTCTAGGGTTCAGAAACTTTTAAGCATCTATCATTTTTTCCATTTATTTCAGGCTCCCATTGGTCAGCACTTTGGGGGCCTTCCTGGACTGGCACATGGTAGGTCTGCAAATGGGGTGTTGCTTGAGTGGTTGGGGAAGTCATAACTCTGATTCTGAGATTTTAGGGTCCCCAGCACTCAGCTCCAGAAGAAAGAAAACCATTCATAAGACAATCACACAAGTTTTAAATGGGCAGGCTAATGGAAATGAGAATTTGGAGTCATGGCAATCCTTAGAGAAAGGGGGGTAATCCCACCCTCTGAAAAGAGAAACTCTGGAGGAGTCCTAGGTCCCCATTAATGGCTTCCTTGCTTTGGGGAGGAAGAGGTAGAGGGTAGAGAGGGGCTTGGGGTTTCTCTTGTTCCCCCAGGGAGCACCAGACCCTCTGCAGTGTGGGAGCAGGCTGTTTGCAGGTGTTTGACACTTGGTCCTTTGAATCTGACCTGAAAGTAGGAAGGCCTGGATCAGGATGAAGATGACTAAGTTTAAACCTTCCCGCACTTTTCCAATGTCCCAGACTGGCCAGGCCTGACATTTCCTGATGTCACTTCAGCCTCTTCATAGAGGAGGGTACATGGACCCTGACAGATGGACATAGGGCTCACGTGTGGCCTTCTGGACAGGTGTCTTTGCTCGTGGCTGTTTCAGTGGCCAGGTGACCAGTGTCTACATGGTCTAGTGCCCAGGTCAGCTAGCCCCATGCAGAGTCCCCTGTCCTGGGGACCTGTGCGGGCAGTGCCCTGGCAGTGTGGCCTTTTCTGAGGCTGCAGAGCCTGGTGGGATGGAGCAGACACAGTTCTGCTCAGGGGTGGCCCCTTAGAGCTGGAGTTGGGGTCCTGGCACAGGGAGGGTGTCTGATGACACTCAGTGGCTGTGTGTGTCACCTGTTGGTGCATGTGCACAGTGTAGAGGTTATTTTTCTAAGGGCACTAGTTAAGAGCCTGATTTTAGGCAATGGCCCGAGGCCAGCTGTAAAGCCTGTCTTTGGGATCTGTAGATCTGAGTCTCGCATGGACACTACCTGGGGTCAAGTGTCCAGCCAGCCTACCTGCTTCGTGTGAGTGATAACCTCAGCACTTCCTAGGACCCTGTAAGCAGCTCGCTCAACAGGTGGCGTTCCCTCCACCTGAGTTTGCACTAAGGCCCTGCCGGCTGAACCCATGCGCAGTAACTGGAGCTGTTCACTGAACCCGGGGCACTCTGACCCGGTATGCAGAAACTGGCACTGATCCCAAAGGCACTGCACAAGCTTGCACTGATCCCGCCTCTCTACGCAGGCTGTCCTACGACCCCACCCGCTATCCTCGGCTCCTGCCGGAGGCCTACTGCCTGTGCCGAGGCTGCCTGACCGGGCCGCGCGGGGAGGAGGACCTCAGCCTCCGCAGTGCACCTGTGCTGCTGCCCACGGTCGTGCTGCGCCGCACTGCGGGCTGTGCGGGGGGCCGCTCTGTCTACGCGGAGGAGTACGTGGCGGTGCCCGTGGGCTGCACCTGCGTCCCCGCGCCCGACCACGACGCGCCAGCTGCCACCGGAACGGACCGCGGCGGAAAAGAGCGGAACCAGGACCCCGGTCACGAGGAGTGGGACAGGGACCTACGCAGGCCTTTCCGTTCAGGAGGACAGTGACCTGGGCAGGTATTTCTGCCTGGGCCCCGCCTGGGAACCTCTCCGTTGTCAGGGCTTCTTCTATTCTAGGCGGAGTCAGCGCCCAGCTGATGGGACTGAAAGGAGTTGGCTTAGTGTAGGGACCAGCCTCTGGGACAGGGCGGGCCACCACCGCCCCTGAGGCTGCTGACCCCACCCCACCGCACAGCGTCAGTGTATCAGGTGGCACCGCTGCTAGGACAAGCAGGCCACAGCCTCCACACGTAGGTGATAGACGCGTTTTAAACTATCTTTTTATGAGCACATAGAGCTACTTATTTTCAATAAGGGCAGAAACTATTTTTATATTAGTGATTTTGAGTATTAAAATTTTTTCTTGTTTTATAGACCATGTTTTCCCTTCTGCTAGCTTGTAGAAGCACAGTTGGAATCCTCAGATAAACCTTACCGGGTGTTGTGTCCCAAGTCTCTGCAGCCAGCCTGTCCTCATTGCTGGCACAACCAGATGGACAGGGTTGAACCCGACATGCCCAGCTGTCAGTCTCCAGGAGCTGCTACAGGGATAAAAGGGAAGTGTAATAGGCTCAGGGTACCCCAGAGCCCTCCCAGAAATCCTAAACTTCGGTTTATTTACTAGCACATCAATGGCTGCAGGTTTACTGATTTAAAATCTTTTTTTTTCCCCTTCACTTTTCAAAGTCAGTGGACCAATTTGTAGGTAAGAGGTAATGAGATAAAGGTGACAGGGGGAACGTGACATCCTTGCCAACTCTCAAGAACTTAACTTGGCTGTTTGAAGGGCTTCTGGTACTAGTCACATATGAGGGGGAAATGAGTTAACTTACAATTTCAAGAAAGCAGTATTGAGCCTCTTTTTCTATATGTTGCATTGTGAGCTAAATCCTTACTTCTTTAGCCTGGAAGTCTGTCCATGAACATAATGATTTGTAAAACGAAGAGGTACTTTTTAAATCTTTAAAACAGTTGCTGGTGAGGGTATATTGCTTGTATTTCTTTCTCATGGGCTCAACTGAGTTTTAGAGGAAACAATATGTTTATTAAAGTCTTTGTCTTAACTTTATGGTGGAAGTTTAAGATTAAATCAAGTAGTAACATAAAGTCAGTCTCTTTGCTCTCCTGTGACACCCCAGCCAAGCCGAGAAGTGTCCTTTCTTCATGTGTTTCACTCCCAAGTTTCAGCTGCCATAGAAGTACACAGTTGAAGTACACAGTTTTGGCTGCCTGGGTCACCATCAGTCTTTATTTGAATTGGACGCAAGGTTCACTGAGAGGACTTCCAACTTTTACTATCTGGTGACAGAAGTTGTGCATGAAAATACCTTGCTGAACAGAATCGGGATTTTCCAAGTAGCCGAGGATAGTTCTATATAGTTTGGGATTATTTTTATAAAGGTAGCCCTAGTGGAGGTATCTCTAGAGTATGTTGTCCAGAAACGGAAGGTTCAGAGCAACCTTTTGTTGCTAGTTCAGCAACAAAAATCCCTGCCCTGGCCAGGTACCTCAGTTGGTTAGAGCAGCGGTCGCCAAACGGTGGTCCACGGACCACTGGTGGTCCATGTGGTCCGAAAGGTTGGCAACCACTGGGTTAGAGCATTGTCCTAATATTAGGAAGAAACTGGCTTTCCATTCTAAGATCTATAAAGGCAACTTTTGTACTTTTTCTCTGAATGGCACATTCATCCACTTAACTATTTATTGAGCACTTGCCCTGTTCCAGGTGCTGAGCTCCTGGAGCCAGCTGTGAACCACACCAACTCTGCACTGAATTGGCTGTCAGCACGCTGGGCATGCTCAGGCCTCTGCTCACCTCACATATTGCCCAAGAATCAGAGCTAGTTTGCTCATCTATAAAATGAGGTGGTGCCATCCACCTAACAGGTATTGTGATGGCTGATCACCATTGTGAAGCACCTAGCAGTCTTGCCCACACACAGTAGGGAGCGAAAACACACTGTCCCAGTGACTCATGAGTTACATTGAGAATAAGTAGTATCCAGCTCTTATTTGAAGTGTTTCTATTACTTCCAAGTGCCTGTTTGTTTTTAAGTATAAAAGGTAAGTTTAAAATGAAATCTATCCATGCCCTGGCCAGGTAGGTCAGTTGATTAGCACATCGTCACAATATACCCAAGGTTGTAGGTTCGATCACTGGTCAGGGCACATACAGAATCAATCAATGAATGAATGCATAAATGAGTGGGACAACAAATCCATGTTTCTCTCCCTTCCTGCCTTCCAATCTCTCTTGAAAATCAATAAATAAAAATTGAGATAAAAACGAAATCTATCCCTAGATAGCAGCAATTAGAGAGAATATATTGAAATCAGAGGGCTGTGACCCATTGTGGGGAGATACTGCTTCAATGAATAGTTTATTGAACAGAATTTTGTTCTCTTGTTAAAATTAAAGTTTTTATTTTGGAAGGGAAGGGGTTAGTATTGTGTTTTAATGACAACTAGGGAAATATACTGGCTAGAGAATTATGCCACCAAAGTTCAAGGACATCTTTTCCTCCTGATCCTGATAACATCGTTAACATAGTTGCATCTTGTTGATATGGGCAAGTACAATAAATTCTAGCAGCATTGGACTGTAAATTTCATAGCTTCTTTCCCTCCTCTTAAAAAGTGCCACCATGCCTACTTTTCCTTCAAGTAATTCTATTTTGAGTGTTTCATGGCAATGCTCGGAATGGAGGTACCTTACTGGTCATTGAAGATTTTTTCCAACAGACAATATTTCTGTTGTGTGCTTATTTTGTAAAAATGGAATAATCTGGGAAGAGCCCGCAGAAGACACTGGCTCCTGCCAGCTGTTCCACGTTCAGAGGCCAATGACCCAGACTTCCGGTAGGACTGCATTTCTTCTATTAAGGCAGAAGGGACAAGAGGTCAGTTTTCGTAACTGGTTCAGGCTCAGACTGCAGAAAGGAAAGGACAGGAACCAGCATGGGATTCTCATTTGAAATGGGGTTTCACTTCACCACACATGTCATCTGCTCTTGCACACAGCTGAGTAACAACATGGAAAACTCTGAATTGCTAGCAAAACTGCAATTACTATCCCTCCCCTTTCTACTCACATTATGGTTGTCTTGGTGTAAATGCAAACCTTTGAATTAAGGACTTACAAAGATGTCTATTAAACATCCTCTTTAGTTTTTGCAGTTCTATGGTAAAAATGTCAGAGATGAGGTCACCTCCTGAGAACCCCCTGCTTACAGACAGACTTGAGAGCATCGCCCAGCCTTCCTTGCCATTCAACAGCTGGTGGCCATGCGCACTCCACCTGCCTAGAGGGAGACAGACAGACAGGAACACGTCCAGGCTTACGTCAAGCTTTTCAGGTTGCCAGGCTACAGCTACAAGTCATTCTTGAAATCCGGACACCAATCACAAACAAATACGGGCTTGTTAAAATGGAATCACAAGCCCTGGCCAGGTATCTCAGTTGGTTAGAGCCTCATCCCCATAGGCCAAGGTTGCGGATTCGATTCCTGGTCAGGGCACATACAAGAAACAACCAACAAATGCATAAATAAATGGAACAACAAACTGATGTGTGCTTTTTTCCTCTCTCTCTCTCTCCCTTGCCCTCTGTCTATAAAGTCAATTTTAAAAAACACAAAACTTGAATCTCAAAGGGTCCAAAGCAAAAAAGACATATTGGCTGCTTATTAAAATACATTTTTATATGAGTAAAGCTTTGCCTCTTCCTTCCTCTACCCCCATGGAGAAAAGGTTTCCCTCATCTTAAAGGCTAGATTTATAGACCAACTAAAATTGTTATTTCTATACTGCTACTTGCCCACCATTCCTAAATTACACATTACATTTCTACACATGATTTGTTATAGTATGTGTTACCTCCTTAGTTAATTTTTAGCAACCTTAAGGAAATATTATTGTAGGGGTTATTTTTTAAAAGAACATTTACTGAACATTTAACATCTCAGGTTAATGATAAAAATACATTACAATGATAAAAATACATTACAATGATAAAAATATAAATGTCTCAAAAATACTGATTATCTTTTTTTATTAGTTTTTAATCCTTACCTGAGGACATTTTTTATATTGCTTTTAGAGAGTAGAAGGGAGAGAGGAGGGGGACAGAGAAAAAAATCGAACCTGCAACCCAGGTACGCATCCTGGACTGGAAACCAAACCCAAGACCACAGGCCAACATTGTAACCACTGAGAAAAGCCAGCCAAGGACAATACTGAGTGATCTTTTAAGTCAATTTTAAATTATCCAAAAGTGAGATGACCGAGTGCACAGCTTCATAACCTGCTAAGAAAATAAAGAGGGGAATGCCACACAGGGTCCTGTCCTGCATTATACACGGTCTACATTTACACAGCATGGTCTAGCTGAGAGTCATAATTCACGTAACAGCGAAACTCATTTGCCAAGGTCCGGGTGTGCTTTGGAATAAATTTGCACATCTTCACACCAAGAAGTTTTGTTGCCTCTTCCTCCATGACAGCACCTGAAGAGAACAGACCAGATGAACCAGAAGATGAATATAGCCATGCACCCTGGGCCCTGGCACAACGTGACAATACCACTCAGCAAATGAGGGTGGAGGTCAGTTCTTCATATTCCTCTTTACTTTTCCAACATTTTTGAAATTTACTTTCTTCCTTTTCTTTCTTATTTAATAGTTTTCCTGTCTCTACAAAACTAAGACACTTCAAGTGTCTTGGAAATAGATTATATCCTACTAAGTAATTTAAGGAAAGCAAGAATAAGTATTAAAAACTGTTGGTTTTGTAACATGGAAACCTGCACCTGAAACCTATCTGTTTCAGGTGCAGGTTTCCCCAATGTCACTCCAATAAATTTAGTAAATAAATTAAAAAAAAAACTGGTGTTGCCCTAGCTGGGTGGCTCAGTTGGTTGGAGCATTGTCCTGTACACCAAAAGACTGCAGATTTAATTCCTGGTCAAGCACATACCTAGGTCGTGAATTTGATCCCTAGTTAGATGCATACGGGAGGCAATCAATCAATGTTTCTCATATTGATGTTTCTCTCTCTCCCCCCCACTCCCTCTCCCTAAAATCAATAAAAACATCCTTGGATGAAGATTTTAAAAAATAATACAAAATAAAATATTGTAATGCCTTTTAAAAAGAAAGAAAAAAACCTGGTTTTCCACTTTGATCAAGAATCCCCTTTTCAGAACCCTCTTGCACTACTGGTGGGAATGCAGACTATTTAATTCCTGGTCAAGCACATACCTAGGTCGTGAATTTGATCCCTAGTTAGATGCATACGGGAGGCAATCAATCAATGTTTCTCATATTGATGTTTCTCTCTCTCTTCTCTTTCTCTAAAATCAATAAAAACATATTCTCAGGTAAGGATTAAAAAGAAGGAAAATTGAGTTCAGAGGGGTTATTTTGTGAGAAAAGGGTCAAGGTTATGCTTTAATTTTTCACCAGAAAGGATATATGCACCTCTATGTTAATAGCAGCACAATTCATAGCAGATGATTGATTAAAAACTGTGGTACATCTACACAATGGAATACTACCCAGCTGTAAAAAAGAAGGAACTCTTACCATTTGCAACAACATGGATGGACATGGAGAGCATTATGCTAAGCGAAATAAGCCAGTCAGAGAAAGATAAATATCACTCATTTGTGGAACATCATAAACTGATGAACAAAAATAGATACAGAGACAAAGAAGCATCTAACAGACTGTCAAACTATAGTGGGAAGGCAGGGGAGGGTTGGGGGCTGGTGTAAGAGATCAATGGAAGGATTTTTATGCAAGCATATAAGCATAACCGATGGATACAGACACTGGGGATGGGGGCGGGAGGGAGGTATGGCATGTGCCAGGGGGGTAAGGGAGGTCAATGGGGGAAAAAGGAGACATATGTACTACTATTTGTAATACTTTAAACAATGTTAAAAACAAAGAATCCCCTTTTCAGTAACATCCAATCTTGTAAACCCATAGGAATGTATTCACATCAACCTTTGGATGACCAAACTATTTCTCCCTCAGCCCCCCTTCCTCACCCCACTGCCTGTCTTGCACTGCCCACCGCTGTGGATATCACCCCAGATGCTGCCAAGCACCTGTTCCTCGACACCTATGGTAGCAAGTGCTGCATAGGTAGGATCCCAGGACTCATCCTGGATTTTCCCCTTTCTCACTTCCCACATACAGAGCACAGCACATTCTTTTAGTTTTCTCTTCAACCTCGTCCAGAGCTATGTCCACTCACCCCCATAAATCTTTTTTGGTTCAAAGGTGAAGTGAACTTGTTTAGACAAATTGGATCTTGTTCCTTTGGGGCTGGACACTATAAAAGAAAATTCCAACTCTCACCAGCACCTGAATGGGGCCCTCTCATCAGACTCCCTTTGAGGCCACTGCTGCAATGCAGCTCAGCCCAGAGAACTCGAGGATCTGAAGTACAGCCCCCTGACTCTATGCCAGCCTGTCTTT